AAATAGTTTTACCTGATGTTTTCTAATAAGAAGTGCTGATAAAAATAATCAAATAACAATAATAACTTTTTTGTTTAGCACAGTATTATAAGAGGCTCTACGTCGAGTTTCCCTTTTCCTTTCTTCAAAGTTGCATTTGAGATCATTTCTTTGTTCAAAGTTTAGCACATTATTATGTGTTATTGCAACACTTTAAACATTTAGTTATTATAATAAAAAACAGTTATTAAAGTATTCAGAGTAAACTCATAAAAGAGTGTATATATAAAAAATAGTTATAAAATGAATTCCTTTATTAATTATTATAAATATCGTTATAAATCCATTAAAAACAAAATCATAAAAGTATGTATATTAAAGAACTTAAACATATAATCGTTTTTATTAACTGTTATAGAATATACTAACAAAATTATTATCACATTATGTTCGGAATAATTAACTAAAAAAACTAGTTGAAAACTGAAAACTAAAAAAGTAGACTATAATAATGTTTTGTAAAACTAGCTAAAGTTGTGAAATGGTAAAGAAACAAATTAATTATATTTTAATATTAATATTATGTACTTACACATTTTTAATTATAAATTTATATTTTTTAGTTTTTTTTAAACCTTTGTAATCCAATAAATTATAAAGAAATTAAAATTAAAATTTGTATAAAAACTTATTCTTCATTATAATTTAAAATAGTTATATTTCTAATAAAAAATGAATAATTCACTAAAATAAAAAAATGAATAATTAAAAAATAATAAACAATTATAATATTAAATGAATAATGCAAAAAATAAAACACTAATTAAAATGAATAGTATGATAGCATAGCTTCGTGGTTCACTTTGGAAAATAATCAGCAGCACCTTCTCGTCCATACAAAATGGGGAGCTGTTGCTCACCACCACCGTCCCCCGATCCACCGCGGTGGGGCCGGACTACTTGCTGATGGAGGCGTCCGCGCTGAAGACCGCGATGTTGACGCCGTCGATGCACTCCGCCTTGAGCTCGAAAAGTGAGACGTGGAAGCAGTGTGTACTCAAACACGAACAACGACGCCACAAGCACATACACAACCTCCGCGCTGGTAAATTACACAATAACTCGGTTTTTTATCTTTTTCGCCCTTGCGCTGTTACCCATTTTGGTTCTTTTTTTGGTTTGTGAGGCATAGTTTTCAGCCGTGGGGACCTTCGGTTCTGGGAGAAATCGGAGAAGGAAAAGGTGAGAAAGCTTGAGTGCGGTGGAAACGGTGTCGTCCAGCTTCCGAATGCTTTGTCGTGTCTCTCAACACAAAAGAAAGAGACGGTGCTTTAGTATAAAAGGAAGTGTAATCAGTAATAGCCTAAAAAGACTTATCAAGCAAGAGCGGACCGGGCCGAATGAATATGGGCCTATTCAATTATGTTTGGTTTCAACTTAAGGCTGTTGTTTCCTGCACTAATTGGAAAAGAAAAATACTAAAATATCCTTTACTACTACACTGCACGAAAAAAGCACATTCCAAACTACCTATTTCCTAAATACATTTTAGGTGGAGTGCTTTATTCAGAAAACATTACATGCATCCCGAAAATTTTATTCCAAAAATCAAGATTTTTTTAGGATATGTTTCGTGAAAATTTTGTTTCAGAAATTCTGTTCCAAATATCTTATTTCAAAAATTTAGGAAAATTTGTTCTAAAAATTATAGAAGGTAAAATAGTCGTGTTAAAAATTTGGGGGTGCGTCAAGAAATTGTCGGGGTGGAGGAAGTAAAAGCCTAAACTAAAACCTCCATAAAATTCGAGGGAATATAATTAGGGTTTTCAGTATAAAACCAGCTGGGTCTGCATCTTCACTCTCTACTTCGCAACTTCAGATCTTCTTCGTCGTCTGAATCAAGGTAAGCTGCTTTTGCTTCTCTTTGTTGTTTCTTCGAGATATGTGCTTCTGTGTCTTAGTCTGTTCTACTATGTTTCCGCAATTGATTCTGGACATGCTTCTCTCTTCGAAGGGGGGTCTTTTAAGCTAACATTATCATTTTTCTAACCGTTTGTGTTTCATCATTTGCATTCGATTTCACAAGAATAAAAAAAGGAAAAACTAATTCAGCTTCTAAGCCAGGAACCTGAGATTTTTAGGGTTTTGAGACTGGGATTTTTGAAAAATCTAGTCTGTGTGCATTGAATTTTGAAAGCATCTAATTGGCCTCTGAGGATGATGTAAAGTATAACTTTCGTTCTACCGATGTTTCTATGGGGAAACTGTATGGAGACCTGAACTGAAGAGGCTTTCTAAAGTTTTTTTTTTTAATATCCCCCATCAGACCTGTCGAGTGTGAACTGTCTATTGTGCACATTATTCAACTGTTTTTAATTAAACTATGTTGCATAGGACAAATTATCTGCTCTCAATTTCATTTTGTGGACCGTCCATTTTGTTGTATGTCTCAATTGCCTGTCCTTTAACTTTCGAGTCTTTTGTTCCATATTTTGAAAACAATCAATTAGTCTCTGAGGATGATGAAAACTATAACTTTCGTTCTCCTGAATTTTTCATGTGGAAGAATATGGAGACCTGAACTGAAGAGGCTTTCTAATGTTTGTTTTCTAATACATGCTATCAATATTCTTTTCTTTCAGTTGTGCTGTAGAGAATGGTTTTTGTTTGATTACTTCATGTATAGTTGCACCTTTTGCTTGTGCCTTTTTAGTCAAGTAATGGAAATCTATCCCTGATTTGATGGTTGAAATCAATCAAATTAGTCTATAAGGATGATAAAAAAATGGATCTAGATTCTCTTCTAGGTTTTTGGTGATGTCCCTTTAGTGTACCATCAAAATATATCGATGTTGACATATTGGGGCTTATAGGATTTAGGGCTTCAAAATTCACTGATTTTGATATATTAAAAAATTAGTATATCAAAATCAGTGTATTTTAAAGGCAAAAAAGAGGGACAACATAAAGAATTCGGCAGAAAACCCTAAACATAATAAATGGAGAGGCTTGCTATCTCTTTTATTGTTATTCCATGAGGGATGTAAATGGAGACCTGAACTGAAGAGGCTTGCTATCTCTTTTATTGTTATTCTGTTGCAGTATTTCTTATTTCTCTGCTTTTATTTTAGGTTTATGTTACTGTTTTATTCGATTCACGTTTTAATTTATCATTTGATTTATATATTTTTCACTTATTTCAGTTTTGACTTCATTTGAAGAGTTTCTGAATTGCCATTCCTTCCAAAATGAGGTAATGATTCTCTAACTCTTCAACTGTGAATTGACATCATCATTATTATTACTATGAATTTTTCACATTTTTTTTCTCAATTACTAACAATCTGTGTTCTTTTCTGTTTTTTTATCTTCTCAAGCCGGCCAATGGAGGAAGATGTAAGTTCTTTTAACCTTCATGCGTGTTTGGCTATATGCCTGTATGATCCTTGAACTCAAAAGTTGTTTTTGTTCCCTATACGTTTTTCTTTGACTGTATTTATTTGAATATATATCTGTTTATGCAAATTGAATCTCTGTTGTGTCATGATAACGTTTCAAATTTGTTTATAAGTAGGATGTCTTGTTGTCAACTAGTAAATGTTAATCTGTTACGTTTTGAAGGTTTAAATTTAACAGCGACCTTTCTTTACCATGTTATACTTGTCATAAGATGACATGGATCAAACAATGTCTTCTGTGCCAAAATTATTACCTGTTTCTTCTCAATTTTGAATGAGATTGGATTTCATGATGTAGTGTTTATTGTTTATTAATTTTTTCTAGGGGCTTAGGTTAGCTATGGGTTAATATCTTTGCCAAGCTAAGATACCTTCTTTTACAGACTGCAGCTAAGAAATGAGGAAGAGGAGTTCCAACACTGGACCACTATCTGTACTGATGATGAGTGTTAAAAATAATACCAGGTATATGTTCATTTTAAGTATTGTCTACTATTTCCTGGGGCAGCCGTTGACGTATATTCTGTCTAACTCAACTCTACTTAAGGTATTGATAAATTGTCGGAACAACAAAAAGCTTCTGGGTCGTGTTAGAGCTTTTTGATAGGCAACTGCAACATGGTTCTTGACAATGTCAGGGAGATGTGGACCGAGGTATGGTTTTTCTTTTATATTCACTTCCCTTGCATTTGTTTCACAGCTTAATGAATCTGTGCGGACAATCGGTCCCAAGACTGGAAAAGGAAAGAAAAAGGCCCATCCAGTGAACAAGGATAGATTCATCAGCAAAAATGTTCCCCGTGGAGATTCCGTCATCATGTTCTTAGGACCCTAAATGAGATTGTGTAATCATTCTTGTAGAATGGCTCTGTAGTATTTGCCTTTGGTTATCTTTGAAATTCTTGACAACCTTATATGTAACATCGCTGGCCTAACCTTTAATTTTTTAGACATTGACAGAGGATGTAGTTGGTATTTTGATGAGGGCGCCCCAGAACAATTTTACCAATATGCGGATCTATTATGTACCTATTGACGTGTACATCTAATGCTTTGTATTGTATGGGATAGTTTTAAAATGTATAGTTCGTTTTTTGTTCCTTCTTTTCTTCTAATAGCACCATACGTGATTATTCTGTATTTTATTTTATTGATTATCGTTGATATTATTAATGTGGCCATTCTCAGTACTTTTCCTTTTATAAATTCTGGCAATAAAAATGGTATTTTTATATTTTGTATTATTGAAGAAAATTTAAAATATTTAGTACGATTTTCTGCATCAAGATTACTCGTATAATTTATTAACATTAGAAAATTAATTGCGTTGAATAGTAATACTTGCTCAGGTTGACAATTTATTCGCTGATTATAGTAGTTTGTTTTTCTCAAAGGAACAATTTATTGATGATAAAGTAAATTATTTTGAAAAAAGTAATTTAGTTCAAATTATGTGCAATCATAAACTATTAATGTATTAATTGATGCTTTATTTTCCATACCATTATGTTATCATAATAAATCATGTATCCCAAACTATTCATATTATTTATTATTATTTCACCATTGGAACTGTTGAATTTATATTTATGTTAAGCGAGTCAAAAATATATTAAAAGGAGTTTTGTATTTAATTAGAGTGCAAATTCTTTATATTCCCTGCTCAAAATATGTACTAGATTAATTGTTATGTTTATAATAATGCAGGAAATTTAAGCAAATCTTGAATTTATTTTAACTGTAATTAATAAGAAATTTAAACATTTTTTAGATTATATTCTATATTATGGTTAAAAACTAATTTACTATTTACTATTTCTTTTAACTTAGTGCGTCTATGTTTAAGTTGCCACCAACACAACTAATTGATTTACTTAAAAGGGCACCTAACTTAGCTAACTAAATAGAAGAGTTCTGGATTTCCATATTTTGATTAGGAGGCAGGTAGTGTATTTCTAAGTGAGAAATAAAGTAACACAAAATAAAACTGATCATCAAATTCTTTATTCAAAAGATCAAACATTAGATGAATCTCCTCTGTCATAAT